ATATGAGGTGAGTGCTTTTCACTCATCCTCATAGTTCTAGCCGACCTGTGACAATTGAGACTGATCGGGAAGTGAGCGAACACATACCGGCGTTCGCTCACTTCTCGATCCTGTTACGGCACAGGGGAGTGACTGGATTCCCCTCTCCCCGCTCCTCCAGCGCTGACTGGCGGAACGGACGGGGGAGGGGGCGGATACAGCTGGCTTTGCCTCTAGATAGGCAGAGCCAGCTGTCACTCACGCAGCTGGGTGGATCCAGACATAATTGTCGGGATCCGTTTCAGCTGCGGCGTCTCAGTATACCGCGAGCTGTAGCTCGCAGTATACTGAGCCTAGGGTGACAGGAGGACGCTAGTTTGTGTCCTCCCGTTACCCTAAGGAGAACTATGGGGAAAAGCCCTGGCCCCATAGTTCTCCTTTTTAAAACAGAATACCTCCTAGTTCTCTGCAGCATGGGTCCACTGGCGTGTCTGTTGGCTCTTCACATATGCATTGGGGTGATGCACTGTAGCACTGGTCTGTTGTCATCTCATTGTACTTAACAGTAGCGCCAAAAATGAATGGCACCTCAACACACCACACCATGTTTTTATAATATATTGGTGTGAAGTCAACCTTCACTTCCTTTCTTTGTGACACTTTGTGTGGTGAGGTTTCATGATGCCATCATCAGGACAAGAAATTGGATTGAGGTTCCTTCTCAATCCGCTGCTTGGGTGGACATCCATAAAGATCTTTCTGCTCTAGGTAGTCTTACAGTTCCTCCACCGGCTGTGGGTGCATACCTACTGCGCATCCACTTTTAATGTAACTCCTTATCCAGCAAGCTTAATTGGAAGTAATGCACACTTACAAAGCCACATTGTAACATATTACTCACCGCCAGACCCTCTCCTGGCTCTACGATGAGTCTCTCGCCAATAGGGGCTTAAAGTGACATTAAACCCTCAGATTTTTTTAACATAAAACAATACTGTAATGTGCGCCTTTTCTCTAATCCATGGTAGTTTCCCTTCTCTTTGCTGCTCTTCCTTTTAAATCTGTATCTGTTCTCATGCTGGGCAGAACTTCTTCTGTTTTGCAGCAGACTGCCTTGTCTCTGGAATGGATACATGGTGTCTGTGTGAAGGTTCACAACCTGAGCCAGCACTACAGGAAGAGGCACTCAGCTGCAAAGGGAAGTTCTCCCCCAGCATGAGAAGACATGAGGATTTAAAAGGAAGAGCAGCAAAGAGAAGGGAAACAACCATGGATTACAGTAAGGTGCACATTACAGTATTGTTTTATGTTAAAAAATCTGAGGGTTTAATGTCACTTTAATCCTGAAGGTTTTGGCATTCCCTGCAATAAAGCTTTGATCTAGAAAGGTGTGTGCTCTTTTATATGCACTCTGAGTTCTGCGACCTTAGCAAGCGTGCTACTGAATAAGTGCTGGTTCCTTTTGTTACCTGTCCTTTTCAACGTCTCCCTGTAAATTGTGCTTTGCGCACAGAACTTTGAACGTTGAAGGGTGCGCCGTGTATCGTTTAACTGAGATTTGCAGGCTAAACGACGGGGTTTACAGGTACCCAGGGCTTGCAGAAGTACCCTTTGAAAAATAGCTATTTGAAATGCAGAACCCTGAGGTGCGTGCTTTTGAGAGCATAATAAATGCTTTGAAGTTAAAGGAAGAAAAAAGCCTTTTCATTATTTACCAATTGCCAATAAATCCATGGGCTTGTATCAGTATGTGGAGACTAGCTTAGTGATGTGCTGTCCTTCAGCCAGGCTTGGCTCTGCTTCTCCACTTGCTCTCTCTCTCAGCTGCTGTTGGGACAGGTTCTTGATTGTACGGCGTTGCTTGCGAAGGGTGCATTGAGCTGCAGGTCAGCTGCTGCGAGCGTCTGCTTTTCATCAAAGCTTTCAGTGTTGGGAAAGTTGGGCAGACGCCGCCGTCCTAAGTGCCTTCAGATGTTTGTGTGGAGTTCAGCTCAGCTGCTGGGGACAGGTGCTGCACAAGGATCTGGTCAGGATCAGAATGCTAATCTGTGAGCACAACCACAGTGTTACATTATGAATCTTAGACACTATCTGTATCTTCAGATACTTGCTGTTTCAGTGTCCCCTTGTGGTCAAATTTTGATAGACAACACCACTAAAACCATTATTTTGGTGCTGGCTTATTTCTTAGGGTGACACCGGTGGTGGAAATTTCCTGGAAGAGGTTGCATTTCTGTCCCTTTCCACAATAATATAGTGATGGTGTCGCACTGCTTGACCGTGCTGAGGCTGCGTTTGACTTGCTTTGCATTTCTTTGAACATAGCATGTCATATTGGAGATGTGTTTGTGTTAGTGGCAAAGAATGTCATCTGCAGCCTTTTGTGTTCGCATGTTTGTGATGCACTGCATTTGACGGCAACCCCACTGTACACAAGCCCTTCCACAGTATTTTACAGTGTAGCCTGGGTTCCTTGGAACCCTAGGGTTCTGCTAGAGGTCCCTAATGGTTCCACCAAGTCTGCCGGTGCAGCTGATTCTTACCTGCCCAACAGTGGCTTCAGTAGGCCCCCTTAAACTACCGTTGCTGCCAGCAGTACCTTGCATTGCACTACCGGAGTATCGCTGGGTGGATTGATGTCAGCCCAACATTAGTCATTTAGTTCTGGCACCTGACTTCACCAGCAGCACAAGATGAGCAGCAGCTGCTGGGAAAAGCAAATGTTTTGCTCCAAAATATCCTACTGGCACAGCATAAACCGAGGCTGCCCCTGTGCAATAGTAGCACTATAGCCCCCATCTGTCCCTTTCCTAACCACTGGATAAAGCAGGTAGTTGGCAGTTGCAGCCAGCAGAACCTCTATAGCCATGCATGACAAAGCTGTGCAGGGTATAGTGCTAGTGTATACACTAGACACCAGTGCACGGTTAGTGTGTCTGCCCCAATGCGCTCTTGGTGTATCTGGCAGGCCCCAATGCGCTCTTGGTGTATCTGGCAGGCCCCAATGCGCTCTTGGTGCGTCTGGCAGGCCCCAATGCGCTCTTGGTGCGTCTGGCAGGCCCCAATGCGCTCTTGGTGCGTCTGGCAGGCCCCAATGCGCTCTTGGTGCGCCTGGCAGGCCCCAAAGCGCTCTTGGTGCGTCTGGCAGGCCCCAATGCGCTCTTGGTGTATGCACTCACATCACGCACTAAGGGTTGGTATAAATGTTATGTCAAAAATGTTAAAGAATTATGTCAGGGGTTCCCCAAGACCAGAGAAATGTTTTAAGGAAATAAAGGTTGAGAGAAGCTGGTGCAGACAAATGTTGTGAGAACAGAACACCATCTTTGCTCTTTGCAATGGCCATGAAGTCTGCAAATTCCTGACACTTGCTGAAGCAACATTTTGAGGATTTCTGATAGGACAGAAGCAGTTTGTGACACCATTCTGAAAAGTCTGAGTGGACGTCTGCAAATCATCACGATCATATAGTAAATTCATTTTGGAATACACGGGTCTTAGCTCTTGACTGATTGTGGCTTACAAATTGAATTCTCCATCTACTTCTGCCTGTTGGGTTGTCCTTGTTAATGCAAATGTATGTTCCGATTCTTGTCATTCGTTCCCTCACAGGGATTATTAAAACAGACATTTACAGACACTGCAATATTGCATAGAGGGAGACTACCGCTCCATATCACGTAACTGACTGGTCACCAGTAGAAACTCTGTGCCAACTTGTTCTGTCCATGGGCAAGTGTTTGCAATGCAGCCAAGGCCATGCGATGCTGTGAAGGGTTGGTCCACCTAAATACAATTTTTGGGTATATCCAGACAAAATGAATAAGGCATTAGTTGCTGGTGTCCCTGGGACTCCAGCAGTAAGATCTGTACACAGGAGTTCTCAGCAGCCGATGCCTGCTGTGGCCATTATAGGAGGCTCACATCCTGTTTAGATTTGTCATTTACTTTGTACTATTAAGTATATTTCTGGAAGGAATAAGACTTCACGACATTGGGGGGAAAGCTCGAGCAACAAGGGAATGAGCAATTTAATGTGCTTGTGTCTGGCCAAATCCGAAACTCATGTTTTGGGTGGACTTTAAAAAAAAAAAAAAGTATTTATTTTGGCTAAATAAAGGAAAGAGCGAGTCCGTGTCCCCCTTTTGGGGAGATTGCCTTTACTTTCATGCTGCTGACACCATTTGAGGGTGTCATGGTGTCACTGCTGAAAGGTAATGCCTTTTTTAGATGTCCCCATCAGGGGAAGACACGACAGACAATAATTTAAAAAAAGCTCCAAATGTAAAGGAAGCGATCCGTGACACGCCAATGGTTGAAGGAGTCCAAAGGAATGATTCATCAATGAGTATTCAATCAAATATTACTTGGGACTTTTGATACCTTTTGGTGTGTTGCTGCGGCTGCTTCATGTAGATTTTGACCTTTTTCCCAGGATCCTCCTCTCTCTGATGGTCTTCTGGTATATATGGGCGGCCTCACCCACACTAATCGGCTCTAGTAATGAGATGGCCCCTTATAACAATCCTGGAAATAATATTTGAAGATCTAGCACCGCACCGTGTATGTGTTTCTGAATATTATAACCTAACAAAGATTTCTAACCCTTTTCTTGGCTGCCGTTGTGTTTTAACCTCTTGCCGTCCGCCCGTAGTAAAAAAACGGACGGACGGCACTGCAGCATCTGCGGGTTGCCGTCTCCAGACGGCAATTTTTTTCTGCTCGCGCGCGCCCCCTAGCGGGCACGCACGGGCAGAAAAGACCCGCTAAATGCACACACCCGTTACCGGGTGTTTCACATATAGGAAGACCAGGTGTAGAGAAACTCTGGCCATCTAGCTGTTGAACTACAAATCCCTCACAGCCATGACTCCCAGAGACAGATGCATGAGGGGATCTGTAGGCTCACCAAAGCTGGAGGGCCAGAGTCCTGTCGTAGATGAACACTTCTTTTTATTCCTACCTAGTAAGTTGTGTCCTTGTTGTGTGACTGTTGTTCAGATTCCTCGTTCCTTCTGCAGGTATCTTTCTGGCGACCCCGCCTCTTCATTTGGAAGCTTGGTTAATGGGGCTGTTCTTCCGGACCTGTCCTCTGCATTGTTATCTACTCCACCGGGGCTTCTGCAGTTGCTGAACCAGCAGGCCAGTCGATTGCAGCGCAAAGCTTCCTCATCTTCCCTGCCCGGGCGCCTGAGCAGAGCCCTCTCTCTTGGAACCATCCCGTCCTTTACCCGAACAGGTAAAAAGTTTGATTACGCTTACTGCTGTGCACACCCTGTTCTTATTGGCAGCCCTGAAATGTCCCGTCCCCGTAAGGGATGTCTGTGTGGGCAGCCTAACAACCCAAGAGCACGGTAAATTATAAGTCTTATGATGCCAACTAACTCAAGTTTTATAATATTAGGAGAATCTTATTACCATTTCCTGGCTGTTAGATTCAGCGGAGGTTCTTAGTCCGGCATGTATCTACCTCTGGCTAAGTACATGTGCACAGGTTTGAATTTGTCTTCCATATCATAGGTTTAGAGGTTTGAACAAAGAGGGAAGACATTAAAGGAGTCGTAAAGTCCCGGGGTATTCTCTCCTGTTAGAACATCAGCATTGTAATAGGAATACATACTGGAGATGTCTCTGATAACACAATCAAAGCTTACATGAAGAAATCTCTTATGTAGGGAGCGCTGCCTTCCATCTGCCCATCACTTCCAACAACTTCCTGGACTCCCGGTGTGCTTTGCGTCTCTTTCCCTGCTGCTTGATGTGACGCAATCTCCATTTCTCAAGCAAGCAATGATCATGTTACATTGATCAGACGTTGAGTTGTAGTTCAGAAGGCCGGCTCTGTGAGAGTGGTGACTCCAGGAAGTGTATATTCACAGGGCTGAGTGAAATGGTGTCAGTGCATTGAGGAAGTACATCCTATGGACATCTTCAATAAGTACGTTTACAAGAGAACTTATGCATATTCAACATAGAAATACAGATTTATTTTTGGTTTTTGGACATAGATACACTTTATGAGTTCACACAGTGCACCTTCCATCTCATGCTGGGCCACTTCATGAGCCTTAACATTAAAGAGGTGTGATGTGGGTGGCACGGCCGGATTTCCCACAAGGCACACCAAGGCCTGGTCATGGGGCAGCAGGGATGTGGAATTCCTATCTCCCGATGCCTGGGACATGCAGTTCTGGGCGCCGGGCGGGTAGTTGTTGTCTACATTTAGCCCTGCTTTGGGCAAGCAGAGCTAAATGTACAGCGGGGAAGCTGACACTTGTTTTGTACAGGTAATCCCGCCGGGGGGGGGTATTGTATCCCAGCTGGTTTCTTGGGACCAGAAGACAGAAGGTGACTTCAGCAGCTCCTTTGTTATGTCCGGCTTTTCCATTTCCATGAGTTTTTGTAGCAGGGAAATCCACTTTTTCAAGTTCTCTGGATCGGTTTACTTCTCTGGTCACTCCTCTTTTTCCTGGAAGGATTTTATTTTGGTTTCACTAGTGAAATCCTCTGTTGTTAGACCCTTTCCCAGGGCTGGTATGCAGCTCACTCTGGAATGCAGTGTACTTGCTGAGCCCCTTGTGCAGGAAATTGAGAGAGACTACTACAAGGCAGGCCGAGAACTGCGTACATTCCCGATTGTGTTTCCTGTCTGCGGCCTTTTAGCAGTCACAGACTTGGCTCTTATTACTATGCAAGTCATCATTGTGGACATCAAAGATCCGAACTTGCATGGCCCATCTTTCCAGTTTATCAATCCTTCTTTTATTTTTGCTTAAAACACAATGTGCACATTCACATCACTCCCTGCCTTACAAACTAAGGTCCCTATTGCACGCCATTACTAGGGGCCAATTTAGGCAGGAGCCAATTAACCTTCCAGCATGTCTTTGGAGTGTGGGAGGAAACCCATGCAAGCACAGGGAGACCTGACTAGGATTCGAACTGTGGACCCCAGTGCTGCAAGGCAGAAGTGATAACCGCTAAGCCACTGTGTTGTGTACCTCCATTTGTTACCTTCACTGTGTGTGATCTGGTCTCATCGCTGCTTTTCTAAAGCACGCTGGGAGTGGAAAGGGTCATACCTGGCTTGCCAAAGGCTTTTTGGTTTGCTAGTGTCTATTGCCTCCTGTAGGCAGCAGTTATAACACCTTTTATCTGAATCCTGTGTCCCTTAAAGAACTCCAAGAAACAGACGTCACTAAGTAGTCTAAAAGTGTAGAATTATTCTCGGAATAAAATGTTTAAAGAATGCTTGCTCTTTAGTTCTGAAGATATGGAGGAGGAAGAGATTTTTTTTTTACACCCTTTAAAGATTGACTTCCTTTCTGGTAATCGTACAGAGGAATTTCTATCACATTTTCAGGGAAAACCGTCAAGTAAGGCAGACATTGCTGATCTCCTTTTTAAAATGTTGGTTGCGCTCTTCTGTCCTGATTTTTCTTTTGATTTTAGGGCCTGTTCATACCCAATGCGTTGGGAGCGGGGCAGGCTATTTCCAGCGCAGCCCCAATGCATGACATGGCAATGGCCTTGACATGGATATGCACAGGTCACACCACTGCGTTACGGCATGCTGTACTTTTTTTTTTCTTTTTTCAGCACAGTGAAATGTTATTTGTGACATTTCAATAAAGTTCTAACAAAAAAAAGGAAACAGGTAGGATGCGATAAGTGCATCAGCACTGTCAGGCACACACACACCAGCAGCCGTGTGGTGCAGCGTAGATGCTGGTGCCAGTGGGCCTTAAGTACTTCCAGAGGCACTGAACCATGCCAAGTTTGCAGACTTCACTGGCTACCGACTTGTTCCAGGTCAGTCATTCAAAGTATTTAGGTTAGAAAAAAGGATTAGCAAGAAAGCGAAACTACTTGTGTTTTTAGCAGTGGCAGTGTTCCCACATGACAGGTCCTCTTCAAGGATTTGCTGGACAGTCACTATAGTAATATATATATATACTGTACACTGTGAAGTGTTTTTTACCTGTACGTGCTTATTTAAAATGAAAGCTGTCCTCGGGTGTGATTGATAACCCACTCTGAACCTTTTATGTGTTTCAGATTCGGGGTATCTGTTCAGTGGCAGCCGTCCAGCGTCTCGGGCGTCTACATACAAGGATTCTGCAGGATCAGGTGAGACGTTGCGTGTTGAATATTGGCAGTGAGAGGCTTGAACTTTAACCTTTCCTTTATCTCATTCTCTTGTATGAAGTCTTTATGATCCATAAAGTTAATTGATCTTTTGTCAAGACTGCTCTGTTAGGGCACAACAGCGTTTAACCTTTTTGCTCCCAGTCATTTTGTTTTTATATTAAATGCACATTTTAGGCCTGAAGATTACTTAAACCCCCAAAACATATTTTCTGAAAGCTGAGACCATGTCGGGTCAAATGGTGGCAGTTGAAATTTTTTGTCACTGATGGTTGATTTATTGATTACCAGGTCTTTTTTTTTTTCCTCGCTGTACGGCGCCTACTGCCAGCCCTTTAAATTTATTGCGATAAAGAATTGCAAATTTTTTTTTTAAAAGGTGCCCCCGCAGCAAACGTTATCACCCTGTGCAGGGTGATGACGCTTGTCTGTCGCCGCACACACACAATGTGCAAGTGTCCGTACGGCAAGTGTACAGACAGCGCCAGAAAACAAGTGTCATCACCCCTCGCAGCCCGGAGCTGTTTACCACCAAAAAGATGGCCGCTGACAAACCTCATTGCCGGTGGCCAACTTGCACATACTCAGTGCTACCACAACCAAAATGGCCGCCGGCATTGAGGTTTGTTGTCGCTGGCCATCCTGGTTGTGGCAGTGGGGACACACTGCGCATGTGCAGTGTGACCCTGCTCACAACAAAGATGGCCACCGTGTGCTTTTTGTGGGCAAAAAGGTTCTGTGAGTACCGGCACTTTTTTTGCCCAGAATAAAAGCACTGCTGTTTGCCAAATCCATATTTTCAGTAAAAAAATATACACTCAAATTATTTTTGGTGCACACAGACACAATAATGTACCCATTTATAGGTGAAAGAGAAAAGATCTATAAACCTCCGGCCCAATCCACACTGTGGATTCACCTCCGGTCCAATCCACACTTTCACTGTGGATTGGGCCAAAGGTTTATAGATCTTTTCTATGTGAAGCCACCTTTCTCTTGGCTGGGTAGGATTAATATAGAGACAATGTACAGCTTACCTGAAATACTAGATGCATTTCAGACTGTCCCAGTGAAACCCCCTACAGGCTTTCATGATCTTCTCAACAAGGTGTTTAAGGACTTCATATGGACACACAAATGACCAAGGATAAATAGACAAATCCCTGTACGGCCTACATTTGCTGGTGTTCTGGCTCTCCGACTTCTAGTATTCAATGGCAGTACTAACTAGAAGGGGAACAGAACATACCAAAGGGTGTATGGTGGTTCCTGTGGGACAGGCCATGGTCTTGGGGACAGACTATACAAAAGGGTATATGGTGGTTCTTACCTAAAAGGGTATATGGTGGTTCACACCCCACATGGTGTGGGGGACAGACTATACTAAAGGGTATATGGTGGTTCTTGTGGGACAGGCCATGGTGTGGGGGACAGACTATACAAAAGGGTATATGGTGGTTCCTGGGGGAAAGGCCATGGTGTGGGGGACAGACTATACAAAAGGGTATATGGTGGTTCCTGGGGGAAAGGCCATGGTGTGGGGGACAGACTATACAAAAGGGTATATGGTGGTTCCTGGGGGACAGGCCATGATCTTGGGGACAGAATATACAAAAGGGTATATGGTGGTTCCTGGGGGATGGAACATTTTAGTGTTCAATTTTTTTCTATTGTTTCATTTTTGTCTCTTCAGATTATTATTCCCTGCTGTCGGGAAGTTACGCCTCATCGCCTCTCCCATCACCTACTCCATCTGTGGCCGGTTCAGCCACATCTAGCTGTGGATCCATGCTTCACCGACGCCCCCTGATAAGCCCAGCCCGTCTGAACTTGAAGGGACAGAAGCTGAACTTCTCTCCTACCCAGTTTGACAAAACACGTCCCAACTTTGAAGACATCACCTACCCGGACAGCAGCATGTGTCCATTGGAGTTCACCAACTTAACGACAAAGAGCCTGAGTGAGTTCCCAGAAGCTTCCAATTATTTTAATGTAGTATACACCAGTATGAATGGGTGGCGGAGTATGTGTACACCAGTATGAATGGGGGGCGGAGTATGTGTACACCAGTATGAATGGGCGGCGGAGTATGTGTACACCAGTATGAATGGGGGGCGGAGTACGTGTACACCAGTATGAATGGGGGGCGGAGTACGTGTACACCAGTATCAATGGGGGGCGGAGTACGTGTACACCAGTATCGTGTTTGCAGAGGCATCCGTGGCTTTCAGTAAGGACATTGCTTCATTTACAATTGTAGTTTTAGTTTTGAAGTTACTTTCCCAAATTTCTTTGCTGGTACATATTTTCATGAATGTATTTTCTTTCACAAAACTTTTATTGTTTTAAGCATAGTGTATCAATAATAGGACCATTGAGGTGTAGTGATTGTCTCACTTGCCAAGCATTGAGCAGAGTCTAATGATGGCTGCCCCCATGTACATGTATGATTGGGAAGGAAAATCAGAGTACCATCCGCACTCCTACGGTCTTACAGTTCAAAAGGCATCTGTGGTGCTCAGGGTGACCGCACGGATGGCGCAGTGCAAACATCAATGGTAAATTCAAACATTTCACCGTCACACACTCAGGGAATCTAATATCAAAATCCCATATATATATATTATTAAAGTGCATAATGTCACATGGCGTCAAAGGGTGCTAAAAGTGTGCCGGTGAGATGTTTGAATTTACCATTGATTGAGAAGGAAGGGATTTATGGGACAAAGTGCACTTCTCCATGTTACCCTTTTGCCCTGATCTAACTTAATTGACCTCCCCCCTCCAGATGTGCGTATCTACCTCGATACAACCTCCAATGTTTACATCCAATGCCGCAGGTCCCATTCTCCTGGCCGTGCTTGAGTATAACAGCCCCATAGACTTCTATAGGGCTGTCTCTGTTCTCACTGACTCTGGAGTATGTGGGCTGTCTCTGGACTGCGTCATGAGGCCAGAGACGGCCCCATAGAACTCTATGGGGCTGTAATGCCATGCTTGTTACCCAAATTATTCTTTACATGCCTTTGTGTACAAGTGCATTCTAGGCACACTGGAGTATTGTTTTAGTGAGTACTCATTACCTGAAAGTAATTATTGATGTAGCTTGCAGGACACATTGATAGGACTATTAACATGAAGCCAATGCTCCATAGATCTGATTTATGGTGAAAGCACGCTAAGACTTATAGTCATGTACAATTGATTATTGATGTTCTTGTGCAGATCACCCGAAGATGATGTCTGAAACCAGGAGTGACAGCAGTAACACTACGCCTAGAAAAGAGGACAGCTCCTCCCATTCTTCAGCCTGCCCGGTGGACACAACCACGGCTTTCCTGGACTCCCCATCTAGCTGGAAAAGTGAGTGACCCCTCTTGTGGCATCTCTATGATTTGAGTTGTCGGGTACTTGTGCACTGACTTTGATTCTGTTTTTGCTCCTGTGCGTGGCGACTATTTACCAGATTTAAAAAGCTAAGCAAGTTTAAACTTGGGCATAAAGCTGAACTAACGCACTGGGAGCTTTAGTAGCTTCAATCATTTGTGAGCAGAGTGCTCATTCATCATGATGTAGTGGAGGAGGGAGCAGGCACATTAGAAGACATAGTCCACCTTTTGGGAAAATGTATTAAATGCGCCAACAATGATGAAATAAAAAATAAGTGCATTTATAAAATGTTTGCATGCAGGCCTGCAGAGCATTGCAACCGTGATCAGTACGTGATGGGAGCAATGCGCAGACTTTTGCATTACTGACCCCCCAGCGCCTCCTGCTATGGGGCTTAAAGGAGAACTATGAGGCGAGTGAAAATCACTCAGCCACATAGTTCTAGCCGACCTGTGACAATGAAACTGTCACAGGTTCAATAGCAATAGATCGGGAAGTGAGCGAACACATAACATCGCTCGCTCACTTCTCGATCTATCCCTGCATTCCCCCCGTCCAATCCTCCAGCGCTGACTGGCAGAACGGACGGGGGAGGGGGCAGGCACAGCTGGCTCTGCCTCTAGATAGGTAGTGCCAGCTGTCAATCCCGCAGCTGGGTTGGATCTCAACAGTAATGTCGGTATCCGTCCCGGCTGCGGCGTCTCAGTATATAGTGAGCTGTAGCTCATGGTATACTGAGCTTAGGGTGACTGGAGGACGCTAGTTTGTGTCCTCCCGTTAACCCTAAGGAGAACTATGGGCAAACGCCTTAACCCCATAGTTCTCCTTTAAGGAAGTAATTAACTAAAAGTGCAGTGATGTCACCGTCCTGTTGTGGCAGATGAGATTTGTTTCCTGTTCATTCATGGAACCCTGTGATTGGATGATGTGGCTGTGAGGGTGGAGCCACCAAAAAATCATTATTTTTTTTAACAGCTTTTGTTGGTGTATGGGTGAGATTTTCCTGCTATGCCGGATGTAGGCAAACTCCAGCTCTCCAGCTGTGGTGCAACTACAACTCCATGAGGCTTTGGAAGACTGATGGCCACATGCATGACTCACAGAAGCAGGTGAGCACAATGGGAGTTGTAGTTTCACCATAGCCAGAGTTTGCCCACCACTGTCCTAGGCTTTTAGTGTCATGTCAGAGGCGGCTCAGCTGTAAGTTGAAATTCCAGGCTTCCATTTTCATAGAGAAGAATATTCCTATATATTCCATTATAGAGTCCACTAGGGAAGGTGAACCATTATGTTGGCGCCGCTGCCATATTGGGACCTCCATTAGATTCTATAGAGCATGCACTTCATCTATAGATAACAAAGTTCATCTTACAGCAGAGCTCTGGCTGGGGATGTAGAGAGATCGCAATGCAGTGGGTGCAGGCAGCAGCAGGGGTCAGATAAGGGATTACACCCTTCCTGGGTTCTCTCAAAGTGTAATCAAAATGTTTCCCCGAAAATAAGACCTAGTACTATTTTTCGGAATTGCTAAAATATAAGACCTACCCCGAAAATAAGACCTAGTTGTGACCATTCCCAGGGCCGGTGGTGGCATAAGGGGAACTTGAAAAGCTGCAGGAGAGGCGGGAGAGAGTCAGCGGTGGAAGGAGGAAGCGAGGCGGCACTGCAAGGAGCAGAGCCGCATAAGCCGATGCTTCCTCTATAGCGCCGGCTTCTGTCACAGGCGGAGTGATACCAAATGCACTCCGTCTGTGAGGAATCGATAGTAAAAGCGCGCTTCGCTCATCCTGGCCAGCGATTGGTTAGCAAATTTTTACATATTTTTGTACATGAATAAGTGTGGATTGTTGTACATAAATAAAAATAAGACCTAGTGTGTTTTTTGGAGCCAAAGATAATATAAGACAGTGTCTTATTTTCGGGGAAACACGGTAGGTCACAGATAAAATGTTGATTGCATTTAGGATTGCACGCTCTGCACGCTCTGACCCGCTTCACTTTCACTCTGCAGGTTGGGGAGGGACGACACTCCGCTGGCTTTTGGTGCTGAGTCTGACCGGCAACATATTTTTCTCCTCAGTGTACCTGTACAGAACTGTCTACTGACTCCATGTAAATAACTCCACTCCCCCCCCTTCCTCTGAGCAATGTGTCACTTGGTGCTCCTGAATATCCTGACACTGCCTGACCATCACTGGTGCTGCCCCCTGGCTGCTGCGCGGGCTCCTGTGCCTGCTCCGAACCAACCATTTCTGTATTATAGGACTTTGTTCTGTATTGTGAACTGTTACAAGTTACACATCGAGCTGAAGACTGTATTAAACAGAGAAAATGGACAACCCAGCCCTATGTTTGGTGTTTATTTTGTGGCGTCTTTGCGTTTACACATGCAATGTCAGCCTTTGCGAATGGATCAAGGCGACCTGTTACCGACTGTTCTCATCACCTGAAAAAATAATTGTATCTGCTAATGGTAACGTTACTTTCATCCATTAAACCGGGGGTGGGCAAACTCCGGCCCTCCAGCTGTTGTGGAACTACAACTCCCATGAGGCATTGCGAGATTCTCACAGGCACGGATGCATGATTGGATTTGTAGTTTCACCGCAGCTAGAGGGCCAGCGTTTGCCTACCCCTGCATTAATTCATATTTGCACTTGAAAGCTTCACACATATTGGAAGTGATGGGAGCACTTCTAGTAAATGTCTGGATGAGCAAGCTTATGTGCACGCTATAAATGTGGGCAATCCTGTATGCTTCGCTTTTAGGCCACGTTCACACTGAGCGACATGAAAATCGCGCGATATTGAGCGACGTGTCGCGACTTTTTCCTATTGGGCTGTATGCAATCAGGAGCAATATCGCTCGAAAAAAGGGTCATGTAGGAGCGACAAGCTACCAGCGACGAGCTACAAGCGATATTGAGCGACGAGATGTGAACAGCTCCATTGAAATGGATTGCAGAAGCTACATAGAGCGATATCGCCTGGAAATATGAGCGATATCGCTGCAAAAATCGCTCGATAAATCGCTCAGTGTGAATGGGGCCTTAGGAATATATCAAGCCCCCCTTTTCAGAAGAGAAAAGAACCTTTTTTTTAGCCGTAGTTCTCTTTACTAATTTACTAGTTACATTTACTAATGGCCCAAAACTCGGCATATAGCAGCTATTGCCTGCTATATGCCGACAGTGCAGAACCATGCTGCAGCCGGGAAGGATCCTGAGGATATAGTATCAGGATTCACCCCGCTATCTGATTGACAGCCTATCTAGAGCCAGCTGAGCCCGCCCCCTCCCCTGCCTGTCCCTCCAATGAGCGCCGGGGAACAGAGAGGAGGAGGGGGGAATCCTTGCGGGGAGCAGTCACTGACAGTCGGCACTCTCTGCAGGGAGGTCATGAAGGGAGTGATCAGCGGTATGTGATCGTCAGTTCTCCATCAATAGAGCCAACGCGTGACAGCTGCATTGTCGTTTATCAGCTCTAACTATGGGAATGAGCGCATTTCACTGATCTCATAGTTCTTCTTTAACCCCTTCGTGACTGACGACGTACAGTGTACGCTGCAGCATCGGGGCTGTTTAAACAGACTCCCGGCGACTTTTGCCGTCGGGACTCTGTTTAAACTTGTAGAGCCGACTGTCGGCTTTACAACAGTTTCATCTGCTTATATTTTGTCTTCTCTGGTACCCACCTTATTAACTTACCAATGTATTTATTTATTTTGCAAACCTTATTGTAGAACCAGTGACTTTGTCCCTGAGTCTTTGCTTCCCTATGCAATTCTGGCACATCATGACTGGTGGGAGGGGCCGGCAGGGTGTTGTACATAGCTTCCGGAAAACATCACAGCGCCCTGCCTCAGTACCCTTAAAGGAGAACTATGGGGTTAGGGCTTTTCCTAAGGGTAACGGGAGGGCACAAACTAGCGTCCTCCCATCACCCTAAGCTCAGTATACCGCGAGCTACGGCTCGCGGTATACTGAGACGCCGCAATATACCGCGAGCATACTGAAACGCTGCAGCTGAAACGGATCCCGTCAATTATGTCTGGATCCGCCCAGCTGCGTGAGTGACAGCTGGCTCTGCCTATCTAGAGGCAGAGCCAGCTGTCCCTCCCCCGTCCGTTCCGCCAGTCAGCGTTGGAGGATCGGAGGGGGGAATCCAGCCCCTCCCCTGTCACGGCAGAGAGCCATGACAGGATCGAGAAGTGAGCGAACGCCGGTATGTGTTCGCTCACCTCCCGATCTACTGAGCCGACCTGTGACAGTCTCATTATCACAGGTCGGCTAGAACTATGAGGTGAGTGAAAAGCACTCGCCTCATAGTTCCCCTTTAAGAGCGCTCAATCCCTGATGAAAGAAGTGGGTGGGCTCTTGGGAGGAGTTATGCAAATATCAGAATGCCTTGATGGGTGGATGTCATTCTGGAGAGGAGGTTGTGCATGCAGACCGCTGTAGGTGATGCTGAGCCTCCATGATTGGAAGAACTAAAATCCAACCTCTGCTTCCTATAGCCACAGACTATACATGGGACCCGGGACTTAGAAAATCATTCCCATGTGTTCATGTTTTGTATCTGATCTCATAGTACATGTTAAAAACTGACAGGCCGACGGCTTTCCTCCAAACACGGGCATTGCAATCACACTGGAAGTCAGTCCATCAGAACTTCATGCCGGACTGGAGCTTCAAGAACACGGACCAGATGGTGCTGTACAATGTCAGTGTGACCCCATACATGATGATGACTGATCAAACCTCCATCTATTCATGTTACTTTATATGTAATCATTTTATTCCTAAATTCTATTCTCTTCTGTAATCCTGATCTCTGGGAGCCGCCATGGTGGACCCGTCACGTGTAATCCTGTCATCTTTATCCTCAGAGTGGCACTGACCTGGAACACGTATGTACAGCATGTGTAACATAGAGATTAGATATATATGTTTTATCTTTTTCATGTAGTCTCTCCATTACCAGATCCTGTCAAAGGATTTGTGGATGGACGATGCGGCTGTGTGAATGGAGCCCCAATTCCAAGTGTTGCAGGAGCCTACGGGGAGGTGAACCCTGCAATTCAGGTAAGATGGGGGGCTGGAGATGTAATACGGATCTAACATGAAACATGGTATTGCTAAGGGCAAACTTAGGCCTCATTCACACGAGAAAACGGCTGACGCGTACAGCTCCGTGCTGCATGGAGGGCCGTATTGGGCAGCTCCCGGGAAGGACAGGTGCTGCGTGTGATTAGTACGCAGTAAAACAGTAGAAAGGCATCATGGCACACTCACAAACCAGCATGTAAAACAACATGTCTCACCACTGAGGTTAATAACAGAGGTTTGGATACACATCTTCTGCAGAGGATGTGAAAGCCGCACTGCCGCGCCAAGGCACCTCTTATAGTGCGGTCCTAACTCTAAACTATGAGAGTCTCCATCTTGGAGCACATGGGGGCAGAAGATATCAAATTGGGTGCAGGTCTGTCAGGAGGACGCCCAGCCTCCTTAAAAGCACAGAAACACACAAGGGATCCCGCACATCCCAATGGCAGCTGAGAAACCCCATGCGTCGCTGCACCAAATCAGTCAAGCAAAATAAACGACAAACGCACTCAACAATTTGTCACCAGTTATACAGTAAGGTGCACACGAAATGGGCTTTGAACAGTAAAACAGTAGAAAGTTCAAATCTTCTGATCCCATGTACTCCAAGATGGAGACTCTCATAGTTTAGAGTTAGGACCGCACTATAAGAGGTGCCTTGGCGCGGCTGTGCGGCTTTCACATCCTCTGCAGAAGACGTGTATCCAAACCTCTGTCATTGTCCTTAGTGGTGAGACAAGTTGTGTTACATGCTAGTTTGTGAGTGTGCCATGATGCCTTTCTACTGTTCGAAGCCCATTTCATGTGCACCTTACTGTATAACTGGTGACAAATTGTTTGAGTGCGTTTGTAGTTTGTTCTGCTTGACTGATTAGTACGCAGGCCCCGTCCTTCTCTATGGGGCGACGTGGCCGTACGTCGTCCTACTCTCACCTCAAGTGTAGATCCGTGAGGGTGCGTGCTTCCTGGCTCGGATGCAGACAGGATACATTCCGTCAGCGTACGAGTACGGACACCCGCACGGACGTGCAGGGCGGGTGAGCGATGGCCGCGTACTCCCATAGAGAAGGTCAGGGGCTGCGTACTAATCACACGCAGCGCCTGTCCTTCCCGGGAGCTGCCCGATACAGCCGTGCACGCAGCGCGGAGCTGTACGCGCCGGCCGTTTTCTCGTGTGAATGAGGCCTTAGCCTTTAAACAGCTGACAAAAACCAGCTCCCAATGAACATGCTCGCATACCCAGCAGTGTTAGGTGGATTTTGCTTCAAGTCAGGGGTGGGCAAATGCCTGCCCTCCAGATGTTGTGGAACTACAAATCCCATGAGACATTGCAAGATTCTCACAGGCATGACTCCCATTGACAGATGCATGAAGGGAATTGTAGTTTCACCATGGCTGGAGTTTGCCCCCGCCCCAAGTCCCTATTCCACACCTTTTTGTGGTGCGTACACATGCAGTGCATGTATGGTGCCAGTGGCAGAACTACCAGGGTCGCAGACGTCGCGACCGGGCCCTGGAGTTCCGCCACTTGGAGGGGGCCCAGGACAGGAGTAAGGGGCCCCTGGTAACTGCTGATTACCAGGATATTTATTATCCCGGTAACCGCTAATGTCAGTCCCGGTACCTCTTCCTCCTGTCCTGGGCCCTACATGCTTCACGCTGTTCCCCTCACCTTGTTCCGGGCGCAGCAGCCAATGAGTGGGAGCGGTGTTATCCCCGCCCCCTCATCACACAGAACTGCTGCCCAGTGCCGAATAGAGCTGCTGCGGACACGAAGGTGGACACAGGGAGCTGGAACTAAAGGTGACATGGGGTCCGGGAGTGGAAAGCTGGGGACGTGAAGGGGGAGATGAGGGGAAGCTAAGGACATGGAAGAGGAGAGTGTTTTGGTTTTTTTTTTCCTTGGGGGGAGGGGGGGGGGCCTTCATGGATCCTTGCATCTGGGCCCTGAGGTCACTAGTTACGCCACTGTATGGTGCCATTACTTGTTAAAGGAGAACTATGAGGTTAAGTCTTTTCCCCATAGTTCTCCTTAGTGTAATGGGAGGACACAAACTAGCGTCCTCCCGTCACCCTAGGCTCAGTATACCGCGAGCTGTAGCTTGCGGTATACTGAGACGCCGCAGCTGAAACGGATCCCGACAATTATGGTGGGATCCGCCCAGCTGCGTGAGTGACAGCTGGCTCTGCCTATCTAGAGGCAGAGCTAGCTGTACCCGCCCCG